TGCCCACATCTTTTGGAACAATCAAGACTGATTAACTCTGCTTGCACATGTTGGTAAAGAGCTAGCAACACGCGCCGGAAGCTCGAAACGCCACAGCAGAAACCTCCAGAAGCTCTTATCCTTATCATTATGTGTCGGCGCTAAGCAGGCCTTAGCGCCTCCCAGTTTACGTGGAAATTCCCATACTGCATTAGCTCGGCTTCGACGCCTCGTGTGATCATTATGTTCTGTGTACGCAGCTTTCCTTCGCCCACCATGTCGTCTCCCTTCCCCAGTCAACGAGGCACCTCAACGGCGATGCTCCTTCTGCTTCAAGTGCTTTTCTTTGTCTGCTCTGCCATCCCGCGTGTCCAGACTATTTCTGTCAATCGCACGATCGATGACACCTACGGCGACTCTAGCACTGGCGCCTACCCGACGTACAATACTGAAGATTGGATTCCCTCCCTCACACCCGTGAATGGGTACGCGGTTGACGATACGCTTCACGGGTGCAGGAGGCCCGCAGTGGATGGGGCCTGCAGCATGACCCTTCATTTCGAAGGTAAGAACCTTCCTAATGCTGCGTATCCTGCGAGTCTGAATATGTCCATACACTCAAGGAACCGCCATTTATGTTTTCGGGTATTGCGAGTCATTGTCGGATCTTAACCTCAATACCAATGTGACGCTGGATGGAGGTCCAACTGAAGATATTCCCTTCACTTCGCCTCTGCAGTTTGTCTTCAACTGCTCATTGTATTCCAAAACTGGTTTGGAAAACGCCAATCATACCCTTACCTTGGCCGCGATTACCGCAGTTGAAGATGTGCAGTGGTCATTCGACTTTGCAATATATACGTGAGCCAGCAATTCCGTGTTTCCCCCCTCACTCTCATGTGCAAACCAGGCACGAGGAGTCAGACCCAGTGTCGCCCACTTCCCCGACATCATCCTCATCGGCACCCTTACCTGCCTCGAGGAAAAGGAAACTCGCAGGCCCCATTGCAGGCGGTGTCATTGGTGGTCTCCTTCTTTGTGGCGTTCTTGCATTCCTCGCTTGCCGTGCCCGTCCTGGAAAGCAGACCCACACCTCCGTCTCTGCCGACGGTAGTGACACCGCTTCGGAAAAGCAGACTCCTCCTTGGTTGTCGCAGCCCTTCCCCGCCGCAGGCTCTTCCGAATTACCGGGACCCGCGCTACCGCATGAGTGGACGCCTGCGCCGGATCGGGACACCGCATCCGTCCTCGCCACCACCCACCTCAGCGGCGAGACCCAGCTATCCCTCGCAGAAAGGGAAGTCATGGAAGACAACACTGTGCAACAGTTGAGCACGCGCCAGGACGAGGTTGCGCTACGTACCCACACTCCCGTCCTCGCAGACAGTATTGACGTCGCTTCGGAACAGCAGCCTCCTCCTCCTTCGTTGTCGCAGCCTGTAAGTTCCTCCGAATTATTGGGACTCGCGCTACCGCACGAGGAGTGGACGCCCGCGTCGGCCCGGGAAGCGGCATCTGTACTCGTCACCACCATCCCCAGTGGCGAGATGCACTCTGTCGCTCATGGGCGCATCCCTTCCGCCGCTCTCGCCATGGAAGATACGACCGCACAGGACCTTAACACGCGCCATGACGAAGAGGTTCTGCAGCCGCACACACGAGAGCTCGCGGACACAGCGCAGCCCCTTGTCGCGGATGCAGGTGCGCAGCTCATGTCTGAGATGGAAATTTCTTCTTCAAAAGCTATTGGAATCGATTTGGGAACTGCCTACTCGTATGTAACCTCCTGAGTCCGCGTCGACTTGTCTGACTGACTGACTCGTTTTTAATTCCATAGCTGCGTCGGCGTCTGGCAAGGGGATCGGTTTGAGATCATCGCCAACGACCAGGGTAACCGCACCACACCCTCGTATGTCTCGTTCTCCGATAACGAGCGCCTCATCGGCGATGCCGCAAAAAATCAAGACGCGATGAATCCGACTAACACGTACGTATCTTTATTACGCTGTTCGTTAGCGCTGTTCTGACTCATTGCGTGGAGGGTGTTTGATGTGAAGCGGCTCATTGGCCGCAAATTTGATGACAACGACGTGCAGGCTGATATAAAACACTTCCCTTTCACCGTCGTCGGTCGGGGAGGAAAGCCGTACATCCGCGTCCAGTACCGCGGCGAGCAAAAGGAATTTGTAAGCCTTTCCTTTTCTCTTATCGTGGTCTCTGGTTTTGACTGTTGTTTCTATTATAGTCGCCCGAAGAAATTAGCTCCATGGTCCTTCTCAAAATGAAGGAGATCGCCGAGGCGTACCTCGGCACGACCGTCAAGGACGCTGTCCTCACCGTCCCTGCGTACTTCAACGACTCGCAGCGCCAAGCCACCAAGGACGCCGGCACCATCTCCGGCCTCAACGTCCTCCACATCATTAACGAGCCTACCGCTGCTGCTCTCGCGTACGGTCTCGACAAGAAGCTCGCCGGCGCGGGCGAGCGCAACGTTCTCATTTTCGATCTCGGCGGCGGAACGTTCGACGTGTCCCTCCTGACCATCGAGGACCGCGTCTTTGAGGTTAAGGCCACTGCCGGCGACACACACTTGGGCGGCGAGGACTTCGATAATCGTCTGGTTGATCACTTCTCTGCGGAGTTCAAGCGCAAGAACAAGAAGGGTATGTTTTATTTTATTTTACTTTTTCTGGACGCGGTATTGATATTTGCTTCGTAGATCTCTCCTCCGACCATCATGCCATGCGACGTCTCCGCACAGCTTGCGAGCGTGCTAAGCGCACCCTCTCTGCCGCCACACAGACCTCCATCGAGATCGACTCTCTCTTCGAGGGGATCAACTTTCACACGTCTCTCACCCGCACGCGCTTCGAGGAGCTCTGCGGGGACCTCTTCCGTAGCACTCTCGAGCCTATCGAGAAGGTGCTCCGTGATTCCAAAATCGACAAGTCGAACGTGAACGAGATCGTCCTCGTCGGTGGCTCTACCCGTATCCCGCGCATCATAACACTCGTGTCCGACTTCTTCAACGGTAAGGAGCCCAACAAAAGCATCAACCCCGATGAGGCTGTCGCCTGTGGCGCCGCTGTCCAGGCGGCCCTCCTCTCCGGCGCCGTCCAGGCGGCCAGCCTTTTTGGTCCTGTGCAGCCAACCATCCCCTCCGGCGAGACCTGGAACGAAACAGACTGCGTAGGCCTAAGCCTTCGCGACGTCACACCGCTCTCCCTCGGCATCGATACTGCGCCGCTGGGCGTCATGGCTATCCTCATCCCGCGCAACACCGTCATACCAACCAAGAAGAGTGACGTGTTCACGACGCTCTGGGACTACCAGACTGAGGTGCTCATTGAAGTATGCGAGGGCGAGCACGCACGCGCGAAGGACAATAACCTGCTCGGCAAATTCGAGCTGTCCGGCATTCAGCGCGCGCCGCGCGGTGTCCCGCAGATCGAAGTCACCTTCGACATCGACGCGAACGGAATCCTCGACGTATCCGCGTACGATAAGATGACCGGTACGTCGAACAGCATCACCATCAACACCGACAAGGGGCGGTTGTCGAAGGAGGAGATCAATCGCTTGGTTGAGGAGGCGGAGAAGTATAAAGGTATCTTTTATTATTTCTTCCCCGTGTCTCCTTGTGCTGACTGCCTTGTTTCTGCATCCAAGAACGTGCTTGAGTCGTACACCTATAACGTAGAGCGCGTTGGACGCTCTGAGTATGATGGGAAGGAGCTCGAGGCCATCGCTAACCTCATCATGCAAAAGCTCTACGGTGCGGGCGGTTTCGGGGGCGGCTTCCCTTGCGCGTCAGAGGACGGTCCCAACATTGAGGAAATGAACTAAACAAATATCCACTTTGCACGCTACGATAATGACGTTGGATACTTGTATAACTTGTTGCCGCCTGTATATTAGCACTCACTGGCTGCTGTATATTAACGCTTTGGCATGAAGATGCGGTATAAGAGGGCGATGGGAACCGAAAACGGACCATCAATCTCCCCTCGTCGCTTCTGGGAAATATATATATCCGCGCGCGCCCATATTTTTTGAGGTCGTCGCTCAGGAAGCTGCCAGGTTAAATGTGATTTATAGGTTTCATTTATATGTACGTAATCAGTGTACAATGGTAGAAATAAGCACGATAGAATGACTTTCCGGGTCCACGTCCAGAATGACGTTAGACGACCCCGAGATTCAACACTCGTTCATAAAAGCCGATTTCAACCTCCAACGCCTTTGCAATATTTTCCGCCTTTCGCCATACGTGGCTCTCACCCTCGAAAACCACGTACTCGACCGTTCCATTGCGCTCCCCAGTGACCTTGCTAATGTCTTCCGCTTGGTTCGGTGGTACCATGGGATCCGCGGAGCCTTGCAATAGCTGGGCGCGAGCCATTCAGTTCTTTCTCCTTAGAAGGACTTGACTTACCAGAAGAGGCAACTCGATATTATGCGCATGGAACACCGGAGATCGATATCCTCGCCCGAATGCGCCAGTGGCGTCAGAGACATCGTGCGCATATGCACGGTCGAACTGTGCGAATCGAATAAGATCTGACACATCATCCCCGCGTCATTCATTACCCACGTGGAAAATGTGTGCGGATCAAGCCGAGGCCTGCTCTCGCCCACCACCATCTCGTATGTCGTCTCGCTCGTCCTGGGCATCCTTGCGTACGCGATCGTTCCCGCACCGCAGCTCCGCATCTGTGCCGAGTACTCTCCGAGTCTCGCCCGGGGCCTTGAATCTCGGGTCGCCGTGCGCTTTCGCTGTGCGCCTTCTTCCTCCGCGCGGCACTTAGGAATGCACTCACCGCGGCTCCTGCTTCGGGCCCCCATGCACACCGCTTCGCGCCGCAGAGTATCTCGCCGTGCGCTCTCCTGCGTGCTACGCCACCATGCATCCCTAGCTTACGTTCCGCTCCTATTCTCTTCACGCCCGTCCATCCATCTGCCGCCCATCTACCACGATCCGACACTGACATCCTTCACTACGGGTATTGATACGGTAACAAGCCGTCGTCGACCAGTGGACCGTCGTCCTCGAAAGGTTGCCCAACTTTCTTGTACATCTGAGGAAGACGGGGGTTCGATTCCCCTCGGTGGCTTAGAGGTGACGCACAGTCTACTTTTTTTTCGCTCTCACTGTGTACATCTCTGTGACTTCACTCCCGTGCTGAGCAGGGTTCAGAGCCGTCGTGAAGTATCGGCAGGTCCTTGTTGCAATGTTACCACCACCACCGCGTACCTCCGAAACGATGCCCCGATACCAAATACTTTATTAGCTCCTCTTAAGTTCCGGGCGGTGGAACCGGAATGAGGACTTAAGTTCCCATACATCTTAAGTCCTGTAGAGTCCTGCAAATGTAGTGTATAGTGGCTAGATATACATGCCTTGGTGGGGGCACACTAAAACTTAAGTTCGCGCATCTTAAGTTCGAAAAAAATATGTATCTAAAGGAACAAGCACTTAAGTCCCGCTCAACTGAAGTGCCGCCCGGTTCTCAAGTTCCCGCCGAGGACTTAAATTCACTTCAGTTCCGCCAAAAGCAATCCATGCATTTAACTGTCATTTGAATGTCACTTAATGTCCAAATAAAAAATGTATGTGAGGCGTACCGTTGCTGCCCCGGTGCTTTAACAGGACTCCTCGGTACGTACACATAACTGGAACGAGGAATAGCTTCAGAATATTGTCTGGAATGACGAGGACAAACATACCTTGGTTTGCCTCTTGTACTAGTAGCTGCAGCGCTCTTCAGTTGACGTTCCTCTACGGCCTGCTGTAGTATAACTAATAGACTCAATGAATACGTGCGGCGAGACAAATAATGATCAGTGGCACCGGTGGCATGTCGGGATTCGATCAGGGTGACACTAGGTGGTGATTTATGAATGTGGTTTGTTTGAAGTCTTGAAGCAACAAGAGACAACAGGGGCAGTTGACCATCCAAGTTGTAACCAGGAACCTCGATCGACGTGGGCTCGACTTGGTGGTCGAGAAGAGAAACAGAGTGGCACTGGCAGACACAGCCACTGATTGACACTTTAACATGGCGGCCGGCTTTCGAGGCCGGCTGAGTCGTGCCACCGGTCAATCATGCCCAAACAATGCTTCTTTCACCACTCTCATCTCCACACAACCCCGTCTAGCTCCCTTCCATCATCTGGGCTCCGGCACACGATAATTGACCTTGAAATGACCTCTTCTCTATGAGGTCTATCCAGATTGGCATCTGCGATGAGCCTCCGTCTTTGCCACATTGTCGTGCACACCAACCGACCACTTGGTGCCAATTCCCCAAGGTGTTCTTTGCTTTCTGCATATTCATGTTTTGTTGTTTTATAACATTCATCTAGGTCAGCTGTCTCCCGACTCTGCCGTATACTTCCCCTGCATTCCTTCGTCCACGACGTTCTGGTCCCGTGTGTGTTTCCCCAGCTCGTCCATCGTCACCCTATTGATTCGTTTCTCGTGCTCCCCGTCTACTGGGGACCAGCACCTTCCCACCAGACATGCTTCGGGTCTCTCGCATCTGGCCCCTGTGCTCGGAAACCCCGTCAGCGGGATGGTTGAGCTGCTCGTCGTTGCACAGCCGCCGTACCTTGGTCATCAAGATCGATGGGTGGCACGAGGCAGTCTTCAAGTGGATGGATGTTGGTGAGTGCCACGGGTGCATCAGCATTTTCATCGTTTATTCAGGGGTTTAGGATATACGTAGAGTGTACAAGGATTTTTGGAGCGTCGTGCGCTGTAGTAGACAACATGTGATCGCGTCATACGCGACTCAAGTTGACGGGCGGCACTTGAGTGTTCAGGAACTTAAGTGCTACAGAACTCAAGTCTCATTCACACTAGTATGCAACATATAGCTATGTAATGGGAACTTAAGTTTTTGACAGGACTCAAGTTGTGGGGCGAACTTAAGTGGTATGGGACATAAGTTTTGAGTTGGGAGGGTGGGGTGGGGGGTGCTTTCCCATGGTGTAGGCTGGCGCGCCATGGGCGCGGAACTTAAGCTCCGGGCGAACTGAAGTCCTCATTCCGCTTCCACCGCCCGGAACTTAAGAGGAGCTTATTTTATTTCATCCGATACCCAAGGTACACAAAGGTTTTCTGCGTTGTTCTGTTTGCGTTATACATGAATTCAATTTCCGAATAGCGTTCACTATTCACAACCAACCAAGGAACTGCCACCAGCCGAGTGGGATGTGCAGGTAATTGAAGCAACAGCCAAACTTGTGGCCCACTCATTATATCGCCACTCCTATGCTGTATATCCGGGAGGTGGCTCGTCTGATAAACCCAACGCCCACGTTGAACGCATCTGATTCTCCAAATCCCTGATGCGCGTCCGGAGGGCCAACATTTCATCGTCGCGGCTCGCGTTCCTCGGCGTGGACTCAGGCTCCGGGTGCTCTTCTGGCGACTCCACTTGCCCTGTCGTGCTCTGTCCCGCCCGGCTACCGATTTCCGCTATCTGCGAGCGCACTATACGTAATTGTCTTCCAAGATGCTCCAATCGAAATCTACTCCTGTCGCTTGGCCCTGCGGCCAACGTCTCCTCGCTCACTAGTTGCATGAATGGAGACACCGTTGGAGCGTCAGAGTCTGGTCGTCGGCGCCGTCGCCGACGTCTAACCGCGAAAACCAATATTACAAGGCCAATTGTGAGGGAAATTGACACGACAACTCCGATAATTCCGCCCACGGACAGCTTTGTTCTATGAATGGCAACGGAGTGAGCGAGGCAGTCATTGATATGAACATCCCAACCTTCGGAAATTAGATCCGGACGTGGGCTGGCGAGTCACGGTTGATGGCAGCTGTGAAGTCGGGGATATGGGGTCGATAGAATGTCCGGTGGAGCTCACTCCCAAAGAACTAGAGGAGGATCTCGGTGTTGACCTACCAGTTGGCGTCAATAGAATGCAGCACGGGATAATCAGTGTACCTACGTCTGTGTAGCCGATGCGGGGGCGGTGAGTGAGGGACGTGCCGATGGACTGGCCCTTGAATCTCCAGGTTAGACAGGGTGATCAAACGGGCGGGGTATGTATGAATACGACTGGTCTGTCGTCGCCGAAGCAGGAACTGTCGGCAGCAACAGGCTCGTTTAAGATTAAACCGCAACGTTGGCAACGTTGGCCCGGTTTAAACCATTTTGGTTTAAACCGTAAGGTTGCCAACGTTGGTTGCTGGTGTTAGCCCGGTTTGAACCGCCCGGTTTAAACCGGTTTAAACCAAAAAAGTGCATCCACTCATGTTTTGTACAACAAAGCTGTGCACGCACGAACACAAACAGGTGTAGTTAAGTGTGCGTAGTTGTGTTTACAAGTAGGTTACAACACTCCGTACCATACTTCAATCAACAATAGATCCACAGGTGAATTCGAGTGTATTCCCAAAAATGGTCAAGAGATGAATACAAAATCTGCATGCCGCTACGAAGACGAAGCACGAGGTGGAGAGTCGACGCCTTCTGAATGTTGTAGTCAGAGAGAGTACGCCTGTCCTCAAGCTGCGCTACTGGTACCAAAAATGCATCTACAAGGACATAAAGATGATTGCCGCTATCACTGGTCATTGAACTGGACCAAGTGGATGGATCGTACAGATGGTGAACGAATTGAAGGCAACTGGGCTGAAGCTAAGCAGGCTGGCGGAATGACCAAGGAAATGAATGCTGGACATCGCCATGATACCCTCAATGATTTTTTCAATGATTGGAATTGGATCAAGGTCCAGAATTTGGGTATGTGAAGTTTCTTATTTATGAAATGCCCTCATTCAGTTTCTTAGCTACCTCTCTGTCTCACTCGTATACCAAAGCAAAAAAAAACTGCTGAAGAGCGCTATGAGCATTTCCATGGTCTGTGCATTCTTCGTGGTCGGGAATTGGTGGATAAGTGGTGGAAAGAGTCTACCGAGCCATATCAAAAAGGCAGTGAATGGCACAGTGCATATCGGCTCAAGGAGCAGAAAGGTGAGTCTTGATCAGGTGAATGTTTAATATTACTAAAGTATTTCAAGCTCCTAGTCAAGCGACCATCTTGAAGGAGATGATTGCTAGTGAGCAAAGAGCGGAAGACAGAGCTCAAGCAAGTGCTACCACTCCTGTTGCTCTCTACATCAATGTTGGATTGAAACTTCAAGCCAGACAGTATGTTCCTCAAATTCTTCTATGCATAGATAAATACTAACTAATGAATCGATCAGGTGTGCTCTAAGAACAACACAGAATCCCACCAGTGAAGATGACCAGACACAAGATAGTGTGGTTGAAAAGCAACGTCTAGGGGCAGATATCAAGAAATGGCATCAGCAACAACAGCACATTTGTCCTCAGGTTCTCCCATCTGTGGTCTCAGAGCCCTACAAATCACCTGAATGGGAGAGGTTATTCTTGCCCTCCGACTTTACTAGCTCCGAGCGAACCAAATTAGGTCTAGAGACTTTGGGAGCAGAAGAACTCAAACTGCGGCAAGGTGAAGCAAATGATGCTCTACGTAGCTTGCGCGACCATATCCAACATAGTCAAGCCCTCAGACAACACAAGAATGCTCGTAATAATGCTGTTCATGGTCAGGCAAACAACACTCGAGCAGTGCAAAAGATCAAGGATGTCCAAACTAGGATCCAGAATTACATCAAAAAGTACCGGCATGCTCGTACTGCAATGATTGCCCTTGGATGCAATCCACAAGACCCAAAGTTTGGATTTCCAGAGCTGAGGGATGAGGATCTTTACACAAAAAATGTAGATGAGCCACACAAGCTAGGTGATGGAGGAAAGGTTGAAGGCTGGATTTGGCGACAGGGCCATTATGGAAACTTGTCTCCTGCAGAGGAAGCCGAATATGTCTTGGATTGTAAGTCAAGCTATCTCATGTATTGTTTTAGAGCTCATCATTGTATAGCGGCAAGAGTACAATGGCACCATGCTCATGCAGATATGGAGCGATGGCAAGAAGAAGTTGAAATTCTGGGCCAAGAGTTCCGTCGTGCAATTCAGGGATTCAACAAAATGGAGGCTACCTGGACTGCTCTTGCTCATGATCATGAAAATGAGCCAGGAAAAAAGGTTTATGCATTGAAGGTTGCAGG